CAGACTTCTGCATCTCTGAACACTATCAGTAGTTTGTCCTGGGAGCCCCAGTGATCTTTTAAGTCACATGAAGTTGTTTTGAGAATACTTCTGGATAGTATGCATCTCAGCTTATACTGACTTACCTATGTTTCAAAGTCCAATGTAAATGAATGTATATTTTTTCATAGTTAAGTTTCATATTTAGCCCTTATATTTGATCAGCACTTCAAATTTTGGCATATTTTACTTACTGTGTGATTAGTGATGCATATAAGGTGAAATAACTTCATGATGACACTGTGCTGGAAAAATCTAGCATGGGCTAAAATGCCAAACATCTTTGTTAACTATAGAATTAAGAATTTTTAAACAGTTTCAATACTGAATACAGAATGAAGGAATTCTGTATGGATTCATTGGATACATTATGAAATCCTGCCCTGTTTATACTGTTTTTAGCATTTCCCTGTTCTTTCTGGATGTTTGAAATTATAACAGTGTACATTTTGTGTTCTAGTGGCTATGGTATATGAAAATATGTATGTGTATTGAGAATTATTTTTACTAAACTTGTATTGTGAAGTAAGTTATGTATTGATCAGAAAAATGTATACATGTTTATCTAAATGGTAAGCACCAGAATATTGACTTGAAGGAGGATATTCTAGTAATTTTGGAAGCTAAACATGTGGGAGTGTTATCACACTCTCATAGCAGTAATGGCAAAAACAGGACAACAAAAAAAAGAGAAGACATGCCATAGACTGTAGCATCATAGAAAAGGAAAAGTCATTCAGCTAATCTGATGCACAATGACCATTTTCGTGTGCTTTGTGGTCCTTCTGCTCCAGTTAAGGCTCATAGTCTCAATGTCTGTGTGGCAAATCACCAGACAGTAGTGCTAGGAGGACTGGAGGAGATTTGCAGCCTGTGTCAAGTCTAAATTTATGGCCAAGATAAGTAATCCACAAACCGTAGTTATCTTTAAAGATCAGGGCATTGTTCCTCTCGTTCCAGAAAGGAATCCCTATTTGTTTTTCCAGTTCAGTTACACAGAGATAAAAGGATGGTATGTTAATGGAGGTATGAAATAGCCCACTTTCCTATCCATTGTAATTGTATATCCTGTGATCAGGTTTCTTATATATCATGGTGGGGCATTATCCCACAGAAATTACTAGTGAAGAAGAGTTACTAGAAATACACCTAATGATAATCATGAAGAGTTGCTGGACAACCCTACCAAATTAGAGCATGATGTATTTTCTCTGTCTTGAACCCTGTAGATCAAGGCAGGGTGGTGTAGGGAAGAGCCTGAGCTCTGGAACTAGTTTTAAATACAAAAGGAAATTACCAAAATTTTGTGGCTTGCTCATTGCAACTTAGACTAGTGGCAGGTTTGCATCCTGGACATGGAGATGCTTAAGTTACCTTCACAGAAGGAAATGTGTCTGTGAGTGTTCAAGCTGTTCCCTGACTGAAATGTCACATAACACTAGCTTAGGTGTGGTACTGCTAAAATGCATCTGTACAGCTTTTGGACTTAGTGTAATGGGATGGTGCCTTTATGAATTTGCAAGCATGTACCTGCCAGATACACAGGGTCTCTGCACTGAGCCACAACTGTGGGCATTCTTCCATGAGGTAATGATCTTTATTGGTCTTTACATCAATAAATTGACCTGTGAAAGACTAAGAACTCAGAGAAAAAATGAGGCAGTATTTTTCTGCGCTGGTAAAATTAACACTGGTCATGAGAAAATTCAAGCATCATAAACAAAGTTTTTGTTGAATAGTGTTATAATTGAAGTAATTTCAATATTGAGCAGTGCATAGGTAGTCGAATGAGTAGTTCCAGGTTGTGGGAGAGAGGGAGCTGACAGAAGCAAGAGCTCTTTGGAGCAAGAGATGGAAGGAGGTGGTTTGTTATACCTAAGGATTTCTTACTCATTTGAATAAGGGAAATTTAAATGTATTTTAGTGAGAAAATATGAGAAATTAGATAAAGAGAACCGAAAACTAGATCTAATCTAAAGCTTAAGGAGACAACTGGCCTGACATTTTACTTCTGTGCATCAGAAAGACATAATTAATATAATTATTTTAGGACTTCAGTGAAATCTGAAATGGTTGCATCCTTTTGAAATAAAATTATTTGTGGAGGAATTGTCTGTAATGACTTCATTTCTGTTACACCTTGACCCTGGAAAATAACTGATAAAGCCTAATTTAGGATACTAATTGTTAAAAATATTAAGCTATTTATTGGTTGGTTTTTTTTTTTCCCCTGGAGTTCTGTAACTTTGTTCTGGCTTTTTAAAAATTGGTGGTAATTTTACTGGACTGTTTTCAGAGACAGCTACTGTATTTTGTATCCATCAGCATCATTCCATTGGCTTGAATGAAATAATAGTGCTTTACATAATCTGTTGACCTAGCTATTTTCTCTTGAAAGCTTATTATCAGTGAAACAATAGAAGAAATATGCATAAAAAATACTAAATGAAATTGTCTTTGGTTGAAATGTTATGTAATAATTTTGCTTGTATAGTGTCAGTAAATCCAAATATCAGGTCACTTGCCTAGAGAAATCTTCATTTGAAGACAGAGAAAATTCAGTTCCCTGCAAAGCCAGTACAGTATCTACCTGTTCTGAGTCCACAATTTGTTCATAATTGGTGAGTGTAGGGCTTCCTTTTTTGGATACTTTTACAGCAATGAGAATATTTCATGGGAAACAGTTTTTTGGGTTAGAGAGAAAATAAATCAGCTGAATATAAGCCTTGGGTATTTTTCCATGGTTTTAAAATATCTAAGTGATAAATTTGCACTTCTGAAGTTCAGTGAAACCCAAACTCACTGCCTCATAGTTAAAAGTCTTCTACTTGAAAGCTTGAAAGTTTCTTTAGTATAACTAGAACTTGATGGAGAATTCTGTCTAGGAGTCTGCCTAGGTACACTGATGCAGTAGCAGAATAGGCACTTAATTATTGCTCAGTTTAATTGAAGAGTTAGGATATTGATTTCTTTAGTTTTTTGTAGGATATCACATGACTTTTTCTCCCCTCATTAATGGAAGTATTACTGGACTGTAGCAAAATGAGAACAGAGGAAGGATCTATTTTCTTGTTAAAAGGAGTTTGGCAGGTTTTATTTTCTCTGAAGATAAATTCTGCTTTAAAAAAAAATAAAAACAAACAAAAAAAACCAACAACAAAACAAAAAAAAAATCTATCCATCCTGTTTTATATAGGAAGTTTTTTCCCTGACTATATTAATTTTTAAAATTAATGCAATATTAAGGTCTAACTTTGTCAAACACTGAGCTTCTCCAAAGTCTTCTCTGACATTTGTACCTGTTTAAGTCAAGACAAATATGTTTCTAGATTATAGAGATGCCACCTATTTGAAAGAAATTTCCTAATGCATAACTATGTTATTGAGGCAAAGAATTTTAAGACCTGAAATCCTTTTACTACCATAATTCACTTTTTTTTTCCAAAATGTAACACAAGAGCTATAGTTTCTAGTTTATTTATTTGTGTACAAGTTGGAGGCATTATCCTTGTTCCATTCCCAAGCTTATTTGAAATGTTCATATAACAAACTTCTGGTATGTTCACTTACAACCTAGTGAATCTGGAGAGTTGTTCTCCAAAGGGGTAGAGTAAAAAGATGAATATGATTTTAATAAAGACAAGAGAGAATACAAAAGAGAAAGTGGAAGTAAAGAATAAAGAAAGGAGGAATAAAGACAGAACCTTTTTGGTCTTGTCACTTCTTGAAGTAATCCTTGGATGTGTTGGTGTGGTGGGGCTTGCAGCCTGACAAAGGTTTATTCTAGTTGCAATTTTTAGGTGTCTGTGTATGATCTTTCTGTTAAATGGGAGTTGCATTGCAGTACTAGGCCTGCAAAAATACAGCTGAGGATTACCTGAATTGATTGGGTTTTTTTCAAATGTAACAGACATTTTATTTTAAGCTTTTTAAAACAGTATATTTCTCAGAGCTAATTTTGTGATAAATAATAAGCTTGAAGCCAACAATCTCCAAAACTATTCCTTCCTTCTCCATATAATACTCCCAAAACTTAAATTTGCCCTAAACATTTTCAAATAATGTTGTTTCTTTGCTAGAATATGGATAGCTGTCTCAATAATTGATATGATCTGTGGAGGTGAATACTTTACTATGTATCAAGTGTACTTAAGGTAACACAGTGCATTTTGCACTCCAAGCAGACATGCTCCTGCTGTGCTGGCCCACAGTCGAGTATGAAGGATAAGTGAGATAATCACATTGAGATTATTTAACTCTTCTGCTTCTGTCACTTTTTTTTCATAGCTTGAAAACTAGCTTAAAAAGTCACTTTAAAAATGAATATATCAAATCAAACACTTCTCTAGTATCATGAGTTATCCAGAATTGTAAGTCATTGAATTTACATGACCAATTTCTTAGTCCAACTTTGGAATAGGTATACACACTGCTGTTGGGATATTAGGGGAATGTAGGAAAGATGATTATAGACCATCACCAGCTGCATCAAGTGCATTATTGCATCTTTTGGTAGTTAAGCTTACAGATACGTGGTTCTTGCTTTTTTCAGGCTATGAAAAAGTGCAGCGTGGAAACCAAAGTTACTGTAACATAAATCAAAGATGTAATCCAAATTAAATTTACGTACTTATTAAACTGTATCAAAGAATATTATATTTATATATCAAAATAAACAGTGGTAGAAATTAATAACTGTGAGTTCCTGTTTTCCAATTCAGGTCAAGAGATGGAGAACTGAATTTCAGTTTCCATATGAAAAATAATATTATATGGATACTTGCATTATTCTGTCTTACCTTGGTTATAAATAGCGGTTTAAAATCTTTGTATAAAAAGCCATGGGTGGTTTATGATTCCCCATATTGTATGTCTCTGTTTTTAAGACATTTCAAGTCTTCAGGTATTATCTGATATAACCATTTCTTGCTAGCTCTGACAGGATTTGTGTTCTCTTTCAGGAGACGCTGATAGATTGGTGTGATGAAAAGGAACTTAATTTGATTTTAACAACTGGAGGAACAGGGTTTGCACCGCGAGATGTCACTCCAGAGGTGAGATAGTCCTGAAATAGAAAAATCTGCCCTTTGGTGTAAAAATGCATGAGTTTGGAGGGGGGGTGGTGATTTTTTTTTAAAATTTCATCTGTAACTTTACTTTGCAGTATCTGTGGATGGGTCAAGTGCTAGACGACTTGGAATCAGAAAACAGTAATAGAAAGTATAGCACAAGAGAATTACTCTGACCTTGGGTTCTGACCCAAAACGATTTTCAAACTAAAATCTGGTATAGTGTAATGGTTTTCTAATCCTCTCACAAAACAAAATTCTAACGGCTTTGTGGCATAATATTCCTTAGCACTGCAGTACAACACTGCTAAGCAAAATCTTGTGTGGCTTTTGTTGTGTCTTGTGCAAGGAAGAGTGGGATAAGAGAGATGGATCTGCTTGTCAGAAAAATCTAAACAGGCACAGAGGTGGAGGTAATCTCCACCAGTAAATGTTGCTTAGGAAATTTGCTTACATTACACTTATATGAAGCTAAAGTAAGGGGGGAAAAATGAGAAGCTTAACCTAATGACCTCATGGCCATGAGATGTCATGTGAAATGACTGTGTGATTGTTCCTGAAGTATTTTGTTATTTATGGTTCCAAATTAGATTAACATGAACCTTTAAAATTACATTTTTCATTTGGTGTGATTATGTTCTCTAAAGGGCAGAATTAAGATTGAGTGAGTTGTGTATATTTGCATAATTAAACATACCTAGATTTGTTAAGTACTCATGTATGTTTCCAATTTCTTCAACTCTCAAGTTGATTTGAATTCTTTATAGCATATCTACAATGCTTTTTACTTACAAATGTGTTTTGTCACATGCCTAAAGTTCAATTTTTTTTCCATTAGAAATTTAAAAGCATTTTTAAATTTATTGTATAACATTTGTGTAACTAGAGAAACGTGTAAACAAAATGCTCCTGTTCATTACTTCTGATGGAACTAAAAACCTTGAGTAACTAAAACTTGGCGAGGCAGTCTGTGTATCAGGAAATGGGAACAATGTTAAGATGAACACAGTGTGGTACCTAGTGAAACTGAGTTTGCAGATTATTCCCTTTGCTAAAGCCACCACAAGTGAAAAGTGAGTTGGTCAAATTAGTCTCTTGCTTGCAAACCAACATAATGCTTTTGAAGGTTGTGTAACCAGGACTGTGTAGAAGGAGGGATGAATTTCTGCTTCAGTTTTCCTTTGTGAAGGGTCAAGCCTAGGTAGCAGTGCCAGATGAAGCATTGTAGCCAGTGCAAACAATTAGTTACAAATTCTCAAGCAGCATTTGGGACAAAAAATAAACAAATGAGAACTCTGCACACAAACACATAGTATTTTCTTTACACTGCATTGCTGTTACTCTAACTAATTAACACAGGTAGGAATGATTCTTTTCATCAGTTTTGTTGAGTAAGCCATTCTGAAAGTTATCTGAGTTGTTTCTGTCTCTGTAGAATAAAAACGCATTGATACAAAAATCATTAATAACTTGTACTGAAGAAAAACTGCATTGTTTTTCACTTAATTCAGTTGGATTAACTTTAATCATAGTGGAGATATAGAATCCAGGTTTATTACAAAGTGGTGATGACAAGCATTGTTCCTATGATAGGATTTATTACATCATTCAATCAAACAAATGATTTTAAGGGAAGAAAATCAGTTTGCCAGCATGTGTCATACCAAAAACATACTAAGAAGCCTAAGTTTTGTCCCCATATTTTATGTCTTTTGGGTCAATAAGAAAACCCAGAATGGAAAATTCATTATGTCAACATGCAATGTGCAATAACAAGCCTTTGGGAAGACTTGCATCGATGTAGAGAATGATGTTTTCACCCCTTGTGTGTATGGTGTTGGCTCAGCACATTCTCATCACTGAGCTGACAATGAAAGGATGTGATCATGGTACTGTGCTATGGAGATGTCATCTTTAAGATGTTAATTTAAAACTTTCAAGAATTGAATTTGATAATGGAAAATGTTTTAGTGTTTTTCTTTAGAATAGAGTCTGTTGAATCATACTTCCGCTGGTATGTTTCAGTCCTGCTTCTCCTTAATTCCCCTGTACTTTGGATTAGAAAGCAGGTTTTTCTGTTTCTTTCTATAGATATATAATTGTACATACCCAATAAAAGTAGTTCCCAAGAATAATTGCAACCCAAAGACTTAATGTTAATTGAATTTTGTAATTATTGATAAAATTGAAATTAAGTGCCTAGCATAATGTAACTAAAAATGGCTTCTTGATACCTCAGAAATATGTAATTAAGCATCTCAAAAACTTAGTAGTTTCCCCACTCACTTTGCCTTTTGAACACTATGTCAGAACCATTCCAGATTACTACAGTTGTTTCAGTGATGTGTAGAAACATTTTTTCTTGTAATGGAATAGAAGAAATATTTTAGGAATATTCAAAATGTCTGATTTTCCTTGCCTGTCTCTGATCCCTAAATTTATAGCCTCAGTCTAGTCAGTGTGGGGAGAGGAGCTTTTGAATTAGTTCCTACGATTCACATTTTGAGGGGCAAAGGCTAGTTTGCTTAAGCAGTGTGAATATCCTTCCCTTTCTTGACTGCACAAGTAGAAGTGATGAAATGCATATGGATATTTAAAAAACCAAATTCACTCAATGAGTGGCTGAATTTGAAAGTGTGTGTTACAGGAGTTACTAGAGAATGCTGGAATTCTTAATTGTTCTGGCAGTTGGTGGTAGTTTGCATTTGTACTAAAGCTGAAGTGTAAGCCTAATTTTGTAGATACAACCCCCTTTTTTTTTTTTACAAGGTAATTTCACATATAATTTATGGAATATTTTTTAAATCTCTGCTGGAGTTTGCTCATACAGTCTGCTTGTTGATTTAAAAAGTGTTTGTACTGGACAGAGGTCCAAGTGTGGCCCAAGTTTATTCAGGGAACTTTTGTTTTGTATTTCCAGATGTAAACATTTATTTCTTGGAACTACAATACTTCAGTGGTAGTTGTTACAGAATGGTGATAACAATATACATTAACTTTTGTGAAAAAAATTAAATCATGTTGCAGCATTTTCATCAATCACTAGGAATCCTTCTGTGATATTAATGTATTTTCTCTGTTGCTGTTGCTCAGTACAAAGGGAAGGAAAAAATCTCATGTACATGGGTTCTCTGCTCAGTTTTCTGTCTTCTGTATTTTTACTTTGTTCTTTTGCAAAATTGTACATTCAAAAAATTCACTTGTCTGTCTCCTAACAGTCTTCTAGATGTTTCCTTATCCATTGTCTCTAGTATGATTCTGTGCAAGTCTTGTTTGCCCATCTCTGAGACTAATTTTATGTACTTAGATAATAGCAGTGGAAATCAAGGTATTGTCCTCAGCTGATGATAGATATTCTTGAACTGTCACAATGTGTATTCACAAGTATTTCATCCACACTGCAGGTAATTTTGAGCCCTAAGATTTTAAGATAATACTTTATAAAAAACAGAGAAGAGCTGTTTTCCAGCATGTAACACCAGACAGATGTTTCCTTACAGTCATTTCGAGTGTTCTGGAAAATTTGTGAATCTTCTTTCAGTTCTTGCTGTTTATATTCTTCAATATTTATGGACTGGTTTAAAATGTATTTAGACACATACTTGTTTTAATTTAGTCTGAAAATATATGCATACTTATTTATTCTTTCATCAGTGTTCTGTAAGAACTCATGAAAAGAAATCATTGTTGACTGGAACTCCCTTCTATTTGTCAATGCTTCTGAAAAATCATGCTCAGGATGAGCAAAATACTCCAAACATACCACACAGAAGCCATGTTTGTATAGAAGAAAGTCTTGATTCTTCTGTAGTATGTCTTTTTATATTCAGTTCAAAATTGCACCAGTATTTTTATAATTATTGCCAAATGCAAATTTTCTATCATTTGGCTCTTCCCCATTCTCTAAGATATCTCTCAGTGATTTTTGGTTCAAATTACATTTCACTTCTGCAGACTATTTTAATATCTATATTCTTCCATTTCTCTGTCTCAAGATCTCTATTGTTTTCAGTTTTTATGTGTTTTTTTTTTTTCCTGTTTGTTTGCTTCCAATTTAACTTTGTTAATGAAATTAGATGCTTATGACACAATGGGGATAGTCATGTTGTAGCCATACTCTCGCAGCAACACATTCCATCAAAGTAACCCAAATCCACTGAGACTTAAATTTTTCAAATAACAATTTCCATTTAATAGGCAGCAACTTAAACTAGAAATAATATATAGGAGGTTTTTGTCCTCCCTGGTTCAAATACTGCCTTTCCAGAGCAGCAGGATTTCTACTATTGTTTGTTGTGGATATAGGACTACTTCTGTTCTTCCTCAGCAATATTTTATTACTGGCACTGGACCAAAAGAAAATAATTTCCATTTTACAAACTGTCGCTTCAGCATCGCTCCATAGTGTGGAGGAATGAAGCCTTCATCTCACGTGGGACATAAGTAATTTTGTGGTAGGAATAATATGAAATTGTACAATCTCTAATAACCCAGGCTAATGTTTCTGTCTTTCACCGTTCAATATTCGAGGTACTCTCCAATTTAATAGCTATTTTAAGAAATTATTTCTGTAGTCTCTTTTGAAACTGTAGCTTTTCATATCTCTTAATGGAGGTCTTGCTCTGAGTTAAGTTTGACTTCTGCGGTGAGCTACTGTATAACAATATGTGCTGTGTATGGATGACATCTGACCCTGTAACTTGCCATCAGACCTTTTGAGGCCTTCATTGTTCTTAGAAAATTGTTTTCAACCCACCTTGCTCCTGAAGGGTTGGCATTGGAAAACCTTGCTACATGCATCTGATCAACAAAGGTGCTTACATGGAGCAGATTGCTCTGTGACAGACTCCTTCCAAATTCTCTGCTGCTCTTTTAGAAGTTTATCAGCAACTCTGTAAAGTACCATTCCCTTTTTCTCAGTCCTCCAGGCAGTTCCTAGCTTATATGATCAGGTCTTTATCTAGTCTGCTTTTATTTTTCAATAA